TTAAGAACTTATAATTATAAAAAATAATCTAGAAAATATATTATAATTTATAGCTAATAATTATCATAATATAATAAAAATAATAATTTTTATAATAAATAATTTATTTATTAGATATAAAAATACTGAAATTTCATATGAGAGATTATATAAAATATTTAATAAGTATATAGAAATATATATAAAAACTCATCAAGAATTATTTATTAATAATAATTTAACCAAATTAAAAATAAGTCTTTATTATATTACTTTAGTTATAAAATAAGATAAGATATAATAATAATTATATAAATTATTATTTCTTAAATAAATATTAATTATTAATTTCTATCAAGAATTTATAGATATATTTGCAAATTATTTTTTTAGTTAATATAAAATATCTAAGAATTATATATTCTAATATTATATTATTTTTATAATTTGATATTATAAAATAATAAATAAAATATTTATTAAAATTTTTAAGATTTTTTATAAGAAAAATATTAAAAATTTATATTAAATATCTAATAAAAAGAATTATATAATACAAATGATAAAAATAATAAATTTTAATATTTATTAATATTTATTAATATATACTAATAGTTATTATTATTAAATTTTATTATAAATATGATACAAAATCTTAGTTGCATAAAAAATATTAATATTATTTATTAAAAAGATTCTAATTTTAAAACTTTCTATAAGAATTATAAATAATTAAAATAAAAAAATAGTTTTAAAAAATAATAATATTTATTGATTATATTAAGAAGACTTTAATAATTTTTAAATTGAACTTAAAAAGTTTTTAAGCTTAAATAATAAATTATATAATTAAAAGTTTATATATTTTAAAATATATTTAAGTACTTATATAAAATTAACTAATATTATTTAAGTAATTAATTCATTTTATGATTTAGATGATTTAGTAATATAGTAATTTTTATTAATAAAAAAGAAAAAATTTTTTGATATAAAAAGATATAATATATAATATAATATTATATTTATTTATAATATTACAGTCAGTATAGAAAGTAATAGTAAATATATTTTTTGTCTATAACTTAATAAGAAATTGCTAAAAATTTACAAAAATTTGATATTATATTAGTAATAATATTATAAGATATTCTAATATATCAGAAGAAGCTTATTATCTTCTTAAATTTGATAAAAATTAAGAAGACTATTAGATAATTAATATTTTCTTGAGCAAATTAAATATAAAATAATTTTAATATTTAAATATTATATTCTAATTATATTATTATATTTATCTTTGATAATAATATAAATCATGATATATATAAAGAAAATATATTAATAATAAGTTAAATGAATCTTAAATCTAATAAAAAAGTATTTAAAATATATAATATCTATTTTGAATCTAATAATTAGTTATATTTTCTTTTGATTATTCTGATATTTTTTTATAAAATCAATCTAAAGATATAAAATAAATCTTAATTAAAAGAAATAAATGATTAATTAAAGAATTATTAATAGATTGTCAAGTATATAAATATAATATCAAAGATCCTAATCAAAAAAATTATTATATATATTATATTATTAATTTAAAATTAAATTTTATTATATAAAAAATATAATAGTTAAGCTTATTAAAAAAGCTAGATATTATTATCTTTTATTTTAAGTTTTATTATAAACTAAATTTTATTGAAAGATATTAAAAGATAGCAAAAAAATATATAAGAGAAAATTATAATTATTCTTGAAAAAATTTACAAAAAATAATTTTTCAAAATTTTGAATTTATATCTTTAATAATAATTAAAAAATTTACTAGAAAAACATGATATTATATAAATCTTTACAGAAAAGAAATTAGTGATAAATTAGTTGAATATATATTGATGAGTCTAGATAATATATATCATAAATAATTTATGTTATCTCTCATGTAAATACTTCTCTTTATCTCCAGGTAAGATATTTTTATCACGTGAATCTAGATAATTTTCCTTTTATAGAATTTTGACATTATGTAATGTTATTGCCCTTACTAATTAACTATAATTAAAAAACCTCTTTATAATCACGCCTCTCTTTAATCATCCAATTTTGCTTTTCTAAGTGTGGTGACTATAGAGAGATCTACCCTTTTGATTAGAAAGATTTGTAAGCTTTATCTTGAAAAAAGATTTAATAAAAGATGCATCTGCCGTTTCTAATTTCGAAGTGAAGCATAAAAGAAAAGCGCTAAATATTATTGATACTTGGAAGGTGAGTTGATTAGTTATTGCAAAGGGTTAAGCTGGGACTCTTATTCTTTCTTTGAGAGGTGCTGTAACTCTTAGTTAACAGCGGTAACCTCAACTCTTAGTTCGAGGTTGAGCTCTTAGCTCGAAACTCTCTTATACTTGTTTTAGCTGAATACCTTTTTTATTGTGAAATGATTACTAATAACCGATTCTGTTTCCAAGCAATGGACCGCTCCGGTAAAAGAAGGATCAAGAATGAAATACGAATTGAATCAAATATATCAAAAGCTTGAGAAGTTGGTGGTAAGTTCATAGCCTAAAAATGAAAAATTTATAAAACAGGAATTAAGTGGTATTATTTCTCTTCAATCAGGCAAAGCAGGAAATCAGCGCAACAAAAAATTCCGCAACTCAAGTAGACCTTTTCCATCTTTATAAAAGAGAGCAGGATTATATTGTGCCTTAGAAGATCCAGATTCTGCTGATTTTAAATACCATTCGAATGCTTTTTGTTCATTTTTTAATTGTTCCTTTTCCATTTGCATAACTGTTAGCAAGATTAAACTGTGCTTGAGGATCTTCATAAGTATTTGATTCCATCTTTGAGTTCAGTGGAATAAAATGGGTGAATTGGTTAAATGATAGTAAAACAAACGATAATCGTAATCAATAGATTGTGTTGTTGAAGTTTGCATCTTTTTGTTTTGAGAGTATAACGGAACGATCAGTTGTTTTTAACCGACATTTAACGTTAATAATACTATGATGTAATAATAATAACTTGAAATTTTTTATCCAATGATAATTAATTATTTAACGTTAAACAAGCAATAATTGCTAATGAGACGAATAATTTTTTAGAGAAAACAACAAATTTATACATTATTGAAACATAATGAAAGATTAAGAAATTAACTTCCAAAATAGCAGCAAGGTAAATAAAATCAATCAAACTGTATATAGTCAACAATACATAAAATTTTAACAAATAATTTTAGTTAATAACAATAATCAACGTTTCCATGATCTTTCACGCTCTTCGTCGTCATCGTCTTCATCAAATAAAGCTTCAGATTTTACGACAGTTGTTTCGGATGATGATATTTCATTTCCAATTCTTGTCCCAACTACTTCACCATTAGTATCGGCATTACGTTCGACTGCTGTACTCTTAGATTCGGGAATAGTTGACACGGTCGCGTTTGTGTTTGAATTTGTATTTGTTTCAATATGCCAATTGATGGATACGTTACCAACGTCCGGGATGTTGCGCCCTTTAATAAGGGCCTGCAAAATAAAAGAAAAAAAATCAGATTTTTAAAATATAATAAAGTAATACAAATAATGTTATTAAACCAACCTGTTCGGCTTCGTGTCTATTTTTGTATTGAACTATCGCCGATCGAGCTTCCTCGATAAAGTTTAATGATTCGACTTCTCCAAATTGCTGATATAGAGAAGTAGCACATAAGTAACGAAGTTCATTGAATTTATCTTTTTTCTTTTTTAATTTTTTGTTTATTTTGTTCTCTTTTTTCACCTTTTTTTTATCACTTTTACTTTTTATTTGATTTTGCATATTAATGAACTTTTTATTGATATTTGTTGTTAACCAACCTCAAAATAACTACGAAGCGTATCTTGAGAACCACTTGGTATTTCTTTCACGATTAATTTTGTAGACCGATTATCAAGTTTATAGGAACGCGTGACGCCTCCGCCACGCACTCGAGGCCAAAGACCACGCGCTCTACCACGATATCCGAAAATTCCTCCTCGTCCGCGAGATTTATAGAACGTTGAATCTGTTAAACTATTAGTGCTGCTGGTAGTTGTCGTTGATTCACCCTAAAGAGAATCATAATTAACGAAAACTTGCAAAAAATAACATTTCTTCAAATCAACTATAGATAGATAGCCATACCTCTACTTTTGCTAATTCTGATTTTGTTGGGGAAGTATCAGCCAAAGTTAGCTTACCGAGAGCGGAATCAGGAGCACCACCAGATTCATTTAATTTGCTCAACAAGTCAAGTTCACGATCTAATCGTTCCCGTTCTTTTTCCTCCATGATGCTTTTAGAAAGCGTTCCACTGCTTAGAAGTGGCGTTGATCCGGTAATAATTGGTTTAAGAACTGTGTTACTTGTGTCTTTTTTTATGTCTTCGGAAATTTTGCTCAAGCTGCCAAAAAGTTCTTCACGGCCTTTTGCGTCGCCAGTTTTTTTCTTGGCAAGTTCAATTAATTTATTTTGTTCTTCTATTTGACGTTGAATTAGCTCCTCTCTTTTTTTCTGAATTTCAAGCATGGCTTTAAGATTTTCTTTTTGTTTCTTTGCTTTTTCATCCATTTCTTTTTGCTTTTCAGAAATGGAGAGAGCTTGAACTTCAGTCGGAGAAGATTGCGAAGTTACTTCCTGTTTCATTGCAGGCGCAACCGCTTGCTTCGTTAATAAAGGGTTTGTAGCCGGATGTTCCTCCTTATCTGTTTTATGCCAATAGACCTTGACAAATCGATTGTCAAAGATTGGTTCCGGAGAATTATATGCTTTAGAAGCTTCTTGGCTTGTGCTAAATTGGATAATGGCTTTTTGAAAGGAAGGATCAACATTGATATTGGTAATGGTACCAAATTTCTTAAAGAATTCATTTACTTTATCGATGGTGCAATTTTCTGCAGGGATGTTTTCAACAACTAAAGTTGAATTTTTATTGGCTTGGCCACTTCCACTTCCAGCGCGATTGATACCCCCACGAGCACCACGACCACGCGGACGTCCCCTGAAAAGCGTATTTCGTGTAGGATGCGGGTTAGTATGCTCAATATAGTGTGGTATACTTGGTGTAGTGGGTGAGAGTGTAAGACTAGAATTCGTTTTCGGAATGTCGGAATTCGATTGAATTTCAATGTCCTTATTCTCCGCAGTGATTGGAGATATTAAATCTTCTGGTCTTGATAAAGCAGCACGTTCAGGATCGTAAGCATCAGCGTTTGGAGTCATTGAGCGAGAAGACTGCTGGGTTTCTGTGTTCAACACGATAAAATTTAGTGTTAGATAGCTTCAATTTTCACTATTATAAATCGAACTTTTCAAACTTACGGAATGGAGGTTCGATGTCGAATTGATTATGTACACCCCCTGTACCCATGAAAAAAGGTGGTCTTCCTGCACCCATCATACCAACATTCGCTGCTAAAGGTGTGCCAGTAATCGGAGGTATTATTTCAAAGGGACGGTTTAAGGGAACATCGTCCACTACGATTCTATCAACTCCGTGATCGAAGGGACACAGATCACCACGCATGCAGTATCCTTTTTCTATAAAATTTTATAAAAAAATAATTTACTCATAATCTATCATAATTATCCCTCCGCCTCCCATTATTCTTCCTACTAACCATCATAATCTCGACATCTCGATTGTCTACTTGATCTAATATCGGGAAACCCCCCACGATTCACAGCTAAAGGTCTACCACGGGCACCACCACGATCATTAATTCTTCCACCACGCATCTTTCTATCATCGAAACGATCTCCTAATCCATTTATACCATTAGTATTCCAGTCGTTGCCCCATCTACCAGGACCACCTATATTGGATACTGAAGGATTAGGTGTTATTGGCATAAAATTTCGATTGCTCGGTCGATTATTCCTTTCGTAGTCTAAGCGTCGAGGTCCGTTGAATCCCATCCCACCATTATTTGGAGCATAACCGTTATTATTATTGTTGTTATTGTTATTATTGTTGCTACTACTACTACTACTATTAGCAGTACTATTATTATTGTTATTACTAGTTCCACTACTAATATTTTGATTATTGGGCCCTGTGAGATTGCTTCGAAGCATTTTATTTGACCGAAAATCTTCCTCGGATTCGTCTCGACGACGTTTGGAAGAACGATCATCTTGTAAGTTACTGTTATTATATTCAGCCGCAGGTCCAGTTGGAACACTTTCACTGCGAATTCTTTTATTTTTTGTTGTTTCTTTTTCTTCATCTCGACTATTTAAACTGGATTGTCGTTCAACATGACGTCGATGATCATCTCGATTTTCTCCATCACGCTCTCGATGTTTGAAATTTCGATCATCATCCTCTTCAGAGGCTTCACTGTCTGCTCGTTTCCTTGCATCACCGATCTTTGTTGTTAGAGAACCGACATCAGTGTTGTGGTCTTCCTGTTGCGTTAAAGTTTTGGAAGATTTCTTTTCAGCCGGTGTAAAATATGATGATGAAGCTTGAATATTGGAAGTAGTCGGCTCATAATGATTTGTTGAAGGGGAGGAAATTCTCTCACCCAAATACTCTTTATTAGATAACTCGTTAAAAAGTTTGCGGACGAAAGGTTCCGTTTCTATAAATAGCGTCATAATTATCGAATCCGATCATTTTAATTAATTCCTAAGAGAATTTTGACCAAAAAAAATAGCCAAACTAAGGGTCAGATACTAAAAAATTCAAACACAATACCTTCTTTTAGAAAATCATCAAGTTGGCTTATACAGAGTTGTCTTAGATCTTGACTAGAAACATCGTGTTTCAACAAGGCAAGAACATATTCTGCAAGTACTGCAGGTTCTGCGTCGCTTCTATAAGAAATAGAGTTTATTTGAACTTTGCGTTAACGAAAAAGAATGTTTGCGCAAGAAACTAGAAGGACAAAATGTATTAGCAAAGAAATGTTGTCTCGAAAGAAAGAAACCGTACATTGGTTCTAATTGTTGAATGAGATATTCCTTCAATGCTTTTGAGGAAGAATCGTCAAGGATCATTTTCAGAGTGTCTAAAATTTATAACTAAAGTTTCAAATTTACGACTAAAGTTTAGGAAATGAAAATTTGAAATCGCATAAAACCAAAAATACTGAATGTTTAAATACCTAAGGGCCTGAAATTTTGGACAGATGGTTGGACGGAAAATGAGAGTAGCTAATAGTTAAGCTTCAACAAGTGAACTGTTTTCATTACAGTCACGGGATAATGTTGTCAAAAAAGATGACGTATAAAATTTGTAGAGGTATAATTCCCTAATCATCCTTAATACTGCGCATCAACGCTAGTCACATTCTTTTTAAAAAAATTTTTTTTAATATGGGGGAACTGAGCAAAATTGAAAGATAATTAAATTCTAGAAAGTTAATTAATTAATAATGCTTCGACATACTCTATACAATTTTGTCAATAAGAAGGTAAAAGGAATATTTGGCGCACCTTAATGCTAGAAACCTGTATTTGATGAAAATTTGTAAATAAAAATAGATATTTGGATACAATTAATTTTCTTGTCGTTACCGGTACAATGAAAAAAAATTATTGCAATGATTGATAATTTGAAACTGTTTCAATAAAGAATTACTTTTATCTATGAAACATAGTTATTTTTAGAATTATAATATTTACTTATGCGAATGACTGGAATATACAAATTTGTAAATAACTCTCTTAATTTTATTTATCAAAAATATAGATTATTCTTTTACACTTGGCACATGAGTTCGATAGTAAAGATAATAAAGACATTAAATAACATTAAACGTCGGGTATCATAAGATTTCAATCTGCCGCATTAATAAATTGCTGCCAAAAAGGATGACTCAAGATGTTTTCCAACGATTTTTTCACCACCAGTTTTTTTCCATCTTTAGAATTAGGATCATATTCATGATCTAAATAGAAAATTGTGTCAATCTGAAATTCTTTCAAATATTTATACAATTTCTCGTAATTTTGTCCAACACTTGTTGGTCCGTGACTGTCATCGGATATTGTGAATTTACCGCCTTTTTCGATGATTAACTTTTTATAAACATAAAAAAAAAACATTTAAGTGATGTGAATAAATAAATAATAAAGAATTGGAAAACTACGAACTATTCCTGAATTTTATTTACCTCTAAGATATCTCGTTGAGGATATGCATCTGTTAACCCTTTCTTCCATCCAGATGAATTCAATTCAAATAAACCTCCGTAAGACACCACAAATTCTACATTACGCACCACTTTTTCCCATACTCGAGTGCTGAATTTCCATGTTGGTCTAAATATCCGAATCACATCAAAATGACCCACGATGATTGGTTTTATCTCGCGTAGAATTTTATATTGTGCATCAAAATAAGCAGAAAATAATTTCTCCTCCCTACTACTACTACTATTATTATTATTATTATTATCATTATTACTATTATCATTATTTATACTTTTATTTTCGTCACTCTTCCCGTCACCGCTGTAATCTATTTTCTTGCTCTCCACCTCAGCTCGTTCTAATGCTCTCTCAAAAGTCTCCAAGTCAAAATCGATAGGTACCTCAAAAACATGATGCACAGATCCCACCACATAATCTAATTGAAACTCATGAACAAGCCTTGAAATTTCATTAGAAGCAGTATTAAGAGTGATTGCTTCAGATTCAAGTCCTATAATTAATTTTATTTCTGAATTGTATTTTGATTGTAGTCGACGTGCTTCTGTTACGTATTCTCTAAATGTTTTGTAAAGATCAGATGGGTGAAGATGAGACTTGAAAAAAAAAAAGTTGAATGAATAATCATCATTATTATATGTCTCTTATTTAGTAGTAGTATCCCGCTATAATGTACTGTACCTCTTCAGGATATAAATCTTGAGTGCGATATCTCGGGCAATGTTCCGATAGTCCATAAACTAGAAACTTCTTTTTTATCGCTTCTTGGACAACCTCTTCCAAATTCCCTCTTGCGTGCTTACAAAATTGCCCAGAATGACTGTGCATAGAAATTGGCATTTTTAGTGAAAAAAAGTTGATTTAAAATACATGCCTAGAATCACGTCGTGTCAATCTTAAATTTTTGATTTGTTATTATGATTGTATTTAATCGAAATTTAATATTCAAAGATACTTTACGGCCCTTCATTAACTCGCTTTCCCAGAAAAATGGTAATAAACAATCATTTTGACAGATCGTTATTATGAAATATTTTAATTAAAGAAACATCTCTTATTTTAGAGGTTTTATTGCAGCAGCACATAGAACAAAGAAGGTGGGCCTCCAAAAAAGCCGGAGGTTCTACACATAATAACCGTGATTCCCCAGGCCAGCGTCTGGGTGTTAAGTTATTTGGTGGTAACAATAATTCGAAAATTTGTTTTTTTCACTTTCTTTTAAGTGAGAATGGAATATTAGTGGATTCGAAATCCAGTTTATGGAATTTTTTGGCCAGCGTTAAGCTTATCACCAACGCCACGATTATTCACTTACAATATCTTCATATCAATTCTTTATTCGTTTAATGAATTTCAAATAAAGGAGAATACGCTAAAGCGGGAGCAATAATAGTGCGACAACGAGGCACAGTTTTTCATCCCGGACAATATGTAATATGTCATTTTGAGATTTCTCTAAATTTTATATGAGAATAATTACAATTCATAATAAAATAGGTCGAAGTTGGCCGTGACTTCACTTTATGGGCAAAAGAACCAGGATATGTGAAATTCTACACGGATCCGCAATGGCCTAAAAGGAAATTCGTCGGTATCGTATTTCATCGCGACGACATACTTCCGAAAGATCCAACAGAACCTCGTGATCGTATATTTGGATTTATTGATTTGGTGGCATATCGTGAAGAACAGCGCACAGCGAGAGAAAAAGCACGAGAGAAACGAACCAAAGAGCCGATTTACGTTTGATCTCATATTTCGATATACAGTGGGCGCTCGCTATGATAACATCCTTTACAATATACAATTTTTTATTAATAAAAATCTACATAATAAACTCGGTATAAAAACTGTAACATCAAAATATTTAATAAATATTGCAACATCACATCATGTGACTGACTAAATTGTTCGGTTTTGGTCTTTTTGTTTTACGTTTAGCTTACTGAGCTTGTTTGGTTTTTTATTTCGATTATTCTTGGCTTGCTGAGCTTGTCATTATCATCGTTATTATTGTTTGATCATTTTTCATATTTTCTTTCAATTATTTTTTTGCTCTTGCTAAGCTTATTATCATCGTCATCTGGTCTTTTTCATATTCTATTTTAAGCTTGTCACTATCGTCGTCTGATCATATTCTATTTCGTAGTTCCTGTTGCTTGTCTCGTTGTTTGTTTTTAATTTAAAAAATTAAAAATAAAAAAAAAATCACACGCTTTATTTAAATTTTATCACTACTTTTCTTCATAATGTCAACCGATCCCAAACAACCAATGCAAATTACCGATCAAATGAAGTCTGAGATTTCCAACTTTCATCAGCAAAATATTCAAGTAGGGCATCGCGTTAAAAGACCTCGAACAGATAATTTGACTACATAATCAAAATTTTAGTCTTATAATAAGTAAACTAACTCGCTTTTATTTTGTGGTTTATTTTTTTAGCGATATCAAAAATTCCTTGACGAAGTAACTCCATATGCCGGATATAGATGGTTTGGTACCATCGCTTTGGTGATATTGTTCATGATTCGTATTTTCACAGTTAAAGGTTTTTATATAGTAACTTATGTAAGTATACTATCAAAGAATTTCTTTGGGATGTTGTCACATATATAAGCTATGTAAAATTAATTGTTTCACTTTTACATATGTGTGTGTTTAGGCACTGGGGATCTATCTCCTCAATTTATTTCTTGCTTTTTTACAGCCAAAGTTTGATCCATCTCTCGAATTAGACATAGCAGAAAGTGAAATAGAGGAAGGACCATCACTTCCTACGAAATCGGATGAAGAATTTAGACCATTCATTCGACGGTTACCTGAATTTAAATTTTGGTAGTATTTGTCTTTTGTTTTATTGAAGAATCCGCGCGTATATCTTTCTTTCTTTTACTCGTGAAATCATCAATATTAACACCAATGTTAAAAATAGGCATTCTGCAACAAAAGCGATTATCATATCTTTATTTTGCACATTATTTTCACTATTTGATATTCCTGTGTTCTGGCCAATATTGCTTGTATACTTTTGTATTCTGACGGCAATTACCATGAAACGACAAATCAAGCACATGATAAAATATAAGTAAGTATTTACATCGAAATTTGTGAACTTTGCATCTCTATTTGCTTTATTAATTTTATCTTTAATAATAATAGATATGTACCATTTGATATTGGAAAGAGATCATATAAAAAATGACTTGAAGAAAAACAAATAGGAGAATCAAACTCGATACAAATGGAAAATATTAATTTAATACCTAATTAATACATCTAATAACATAATTAATTAATATTTAATCAATGGACAGATGCACATCTTATGTTTGCAGTGAAATTACTTATTACGGTAAAATCATCATATGACAGTGACAAGTAACCAAATGACTGGGTGACTTATCAACACTGTCATATGACGATTTATCAGATTTATTATAAAATGAGGTGTTACCAAATTCTGAAAGTTGTAAAGCGAAATTTCTATAAAATGTCAAGCATAACCGCTTCACAAAAAGAGGCAAGTAATTTTATAGAATTCGTTAACAATTCACCTTCTCCATTTCACGCGGTAGAAGAAGCACGGTTACGTTTATCCGCTGCTGGTTATAAGGAATTAAAGGAACGAGAAAGCTGGGATAGCGTCCTCGAGTTAAATGGCAAATATTATTTCACTAGAAACAAGAGTACAATAGTTGCATTCGCTATTGGAGGTAAATACAAGAAAGGAAATGGCGTTTCGATAGTTGGTGCTCACACCGATTCTCCTTGCTTGAAATTGAAACCAATTTCAAAGAAGGAGAAAGTTGGGTATTTACAAGTTGGCGTTGAAACTTATGGTGGCGGTCTTTGGAATACATGGTTTGATCGTGATTTAAGTGTCGCTGGACGCGTGATGGTTGCGACCGATGATGGAAAACTCATTAACAAACTAGTTAGAATTCGACAGCCTATCCTCAGAATACCCACACTGGCTATTCATCTTGATCGTGAAATTGACGCAGGATTTAAATTCAATAAGGAAACTCATCTCAGTCCCTTGATTGCGACTATTACGAAGGATTTGTTGTTGACTAAAGCTGAAAAATCCGAGAAAAACGAGAATACAGCAGATCCGTCTATCTCAAAGCATCAACCGGTATTGATGAAAACTTTAGCCAAAGAATTAGATGTCAACGCTGAACAAATCAGAGATTTTGAACTTTGCCTGTATGATACTCATCCATCGACAATCGGAGGTGTTTATAATGAATTCATCTTCTCTGCTCGTCTCGACAACTTAGTGATGTCGTATACCGCATTAGCAGCTTTAATTCAGAGCACAACTGATCCTAATTCATTATCAAATGAACATAATATCAGGATGATTGCCTTATTTGATAATGAAGAAGTAGGAAGTACGACAGCTCAAGGAGCTAACTCGAGTCTTTTAGAAACCACTATTCGAAGATTGGTATTTTCAAATATCGGAGGGAATATTCAAGAAACGACTTCTTGCGCAATATTCGAAGAAACAGTGCACAAGAGTTTCTTGATCAGCGCGGATATGGCACACGCTGTACACCCGAATTATTCTGAAAGATATGAAGCAAATCATCAACCAGAAATGCATAAAGGCGTTGTAATTAAAGTAAATGCTAATCAACGTTATGCCACAACTGCGGCAACATCAATTTTATTACGGGAAGTTGCTAAAAAAAGAAATATTCCGCTTCAGGAATTTGTTGTTCGTGCTGATACTCCATGTGGATCTACTATCGGGCCAATGATCAGTGCGAAGTTGGGAATACGCACAATTGGTGAGTAGATAAAAGAAATCATCTCTTACCGGATTTATTCCTGCTAACCCATAATCCCATTAAAGACGTGGGTAACCCACAACTTAGCATGCATTCGATTCGTGAAATTGCTGGTACAGATGATGTTGAACACGCAATCCATCTATTCAAAGTATGTTCCCCCTTTCACTTTTTCTCTCTTATCTATATGAATGAATTAACTGTTAACGTAAAATTGACCATTTTGCAGACATACTTTGAAGAATTCCATGAAATCGATCAACGTGTGATTGTTGACTAGACAAAAAAAATTGGAAAAATTGATTATATAAAATGTGTTGTTGTACTATTCGTTCGCTTGTAGTGATAGTAAATAACTCCATCAATATAATCTCGATAGGATTATATTTTGTAACTTCCCTAATGACAAGTTCGTTATTTGATAATTCGGATCAAAAATATATTCGCACCTATTTAATATATATATATATAAGTAAAAAAGTGAATTTAGGTGAAGGCTTTTACGCAAATTCCCACTCCTCCCTTTTAATTCCACCACAAAAAGTCAGAATTTTGTAAAGGAGGTTACTCGAGCGATAAATTTTTCTTTGCTTCTCTAGCAATTCAGATAGATTACAAGAAATTACTCGATCGTCAGTCATTCAGTCAGTCATTTTCAGCAGCATTTCCCTAAAGAAAACAACAATAACAGTAAACCTGATTTAATAAACGTCATCCTAAAATGACTAGTAGTAATAAGTGAAAAAACCACCACACAAAATAATAAATAAAAAAAACCACAAAATGAGCAATGTTAATAAGTAATAATTAAAATTTGATAATTCTGTATGTAAAGAAATAAGCTATGGAAAAACTAGGGTAGAAAGGTAACGTATAATATCGTAAGAAAATACATAATAAGAGAAACGCAATCGAATATGAAGAAAGTCGTAGCAATTTAAATAATATTTATATATAATTTTTGAATTCCGCGAGCACCTCTGGACACCTTCCCTTTCCCTTTCAACACACCAAACCGCACAGCCCTCAAATAGAGATAATACGAGAAAAGAAATAATAAGCCCAATATTCTAAAACTAACCCTTAAAAGAAATTATTTCATAAAAAAAAAAGTTTTCCTCACCCAAATTAAAAAATACCAGTTTAGTAGTAAATCTTTCCTCTTAATATCCATTTGATCCATCGCTATTATTAGGCATTCCACATTTTGCGCAGTGAGTTCGCTTTGCAAAATTATGATAACCACACATTTCATTATGACATAACCAGTCTCCAGGTTTCATATTAGCAGTAGCAGCTGCATTACCAGCCACCTGGGGTGGTTTCGGCAACTGACAACGAATGCATTGAAACCTGGATGCGAAATTATGAGAGTTGCATGAAGGACAATACCAATCACCAGGTCGGAAAGGTGCTGCAGCCGGTGAAGAAGGATGACCACTGTTACCATATCCTCCTTGATCGCTAGGATATCCGTCATATCCCATATGATTTGCTGAACCACATCTCATGCAATGAGTTCTAGAAGCAAAATTTTGAAAAAGACAGCTTGGGTTTGGACACATCCAGTCTCCGGGTCTGAATGCCATATTTCCAGCGTGAGACGGTCCATAAAGATTGGCAGGTTTATAGCTACCGCATCGCAAACATTGAGTCCTTGATGCATAATTATGAAAATTACATTGGGGATTTGGACACATCCAATCACCTATGGTGAAATTAGGTGGGGTTGCAGGCGCAGGATTAGGATTGTGAGTATTACATTTAAAACATGTTCTCCGAGAGGCGAAATTATGAAATTGACACGCTGGGCACACCCAATCACCAGGTCGAAGTCGAGTTTTAGCCATCTGTGGTTTGCTTAAGTATAAATAAAATGTGTCATAAATATATATAATTGCAAAGATCAAAAAATAAATTACCGGAAACGGGGCTAAAATTGCCCCGGCTGCTTCAATTACTCTTTCACTACTTGGACTGACTTCAATCGCCCTATCACCTAAAGTCCTACCATTCATGTCTAGACATGCCATTGCATCATCATGTGTCCCAAATATACCGAATCCTGTTCCACTAGGTTTTTGATGATCTGGTGTTCTGATCATCCATAACATTGCTGGCCTAACCCCTTGACCAGAAAACCACGCTTCTAATTCAGGTTGAGTAACATCATAAGGCAATCCAGCCAAATGGATTACCTTTGATTGTTCTTTTTTGAATTGATTCAAATCTGCGTTGGTATCAATCGGGTTCACGAATACGTCTGGATGACCAAAAGAACAAAAATACCGAATAATGTTGACCATTGTCAACGAATCGTTCAATCCAGAATGTTCTGGACCCACGATTTGTAACTCAAAAGCCGAGCACATTTCTCTCAATGACTGACTTTTTAATATTACATCCGGATGATGCACTTGCCAACGTTGAAATTCCTGTTTCAAATCAAACATCCTGCAATGTGCTAAATACGAAGGCAACTCAATATGCTTATCCCTTGCTTCTCGAGGCAATTGAATTCTAAGATCCCATGCACCATGTGTGCAAAAGCAGAAAGTTTTTGAATTTACAATTATAAAAGATTGGATGTAATTGTCCATGGACTTTATTGCTTCTTGAAGAGTTCCAGCTTTATCAAGATTTTCCCAAGTAATATTGGTAAGAGAAGTACAAAATGAAGTTAAAGGTGTATTTTCTGGTTTGACGTATTGAGAGTGTTGATATACCTATGTATACATTAAGTCACATCGATAAAAAATCCTCTTTACGATTAATATTTTTTAATAAATTGAAAATTACCAACATTAAAATTCAATGAACATTAACTATCGTCAAATTGGTTAGCTTGGCTACTTTACATACCACTTCTAAAGTGCTAGTATCAACTACCACCCATGCAAACTCAATAATTTCCGCCGTTTCCTAGTAAACGAATAGCACAGGTTGAAGCCAAGTCCAATCAAGGCTCGTTAGAGATGCATAATACCTCTCAAAATGCCAAAGAAAAGATAGAAATCAGGATTGGATTCGAGAACGCACCCAGCGACCGAAACCAAACCCAAAACAAATCAAGCACAAATTAGCTTCAACAAATTCCATTTTTTTAATTACCTTGGTTACCTGTAATGCTTGAGGGTTTGGGTTCTCATCACAGGTAGCTTCGAAATCAATGACAACAAGGTAATCAATTCCAGGACAATGAACATTCTGTGTCGTTGTCATATTATAAATATTAATGTGTGTGTGTGTGTAGTATATATATATATATATATAAAATGAAATATGGTAACTAATTTCTTTAGTCACAAAAAATATAAAAGCTATCAAATTGATTGTGTCACGATATTATAAAACAGAGATTTATCATCCAATTGCAATGCATAAAATTCTCGAATTTAATGTACCAATTCTAACGAAGGTTGAAAAGGAAATATACCAGCCAAATGGACTTTCAAAATATCGCCGATTTTGGCATTATAGGATGTTGTAAGCTTAGCATTAATACCAAATTCTCTTACTAAAGCACCATATGCTGGTTTTTCACCATTGGTATCTTCGAGAGATATACATGACAATTCAGGTAGATTATTAGATTCACTTAAACGTTTTATTAACATACACACCCAAAATTTTGTACTCCGTGTATCAATTTTTTTCGATTCCCTTTCTCGATACTGAATGTGTGGCAACATCTGAGAAATCTGTTCTGTTGAAAAAGGACGTTTCATATCCAATAGTGATGCCTTAATTTGCCAATGAGCAACGAGATCGCTGTAACGGCGTAAAGGGGAAGTGACTTTGGCATAACCATCCTGAATGCCCATAACCCAATGCTGACCAGGTCTAGTGCTAATTTCAGCAGATGACATTAGGGGTCGAGCCTTCAATGCTGTAACAAGAGGCAAACAACCAGTACTTGAATCTATTTGTGATAAAAGTTTCTCGACCTTGATAGAATTCGGGACTGGTTGATTTCTAAATATGATTGGAATTTTATGCTCTGTGCAATATCGAGATGCGACGCGACCAGCCATTATCATGAGTTCTGCCACCATCAAACGTGAAGGAGAATGTGAAAATCTGTCAAGACTTGTCTCGATTATAGGAAGCCCAGAGAAATCTGAAGGGAAATTAGGATTTGGTGTGGTGATAGGCAAAGGACTCGGTGATACACTAACATTACAAGATGGCAGAGAGAAAGTAAACCCCCCATTTTTTATACGATTTCTCATGTGTATCAAAGTAAGTTTTTGCAAATCTAAGAGATCTTTTTGAAAATTTTTTAATATTCTCTTTGTATTATCATCGTTACTTTTAACCTCTTCACATATGCTGATCGGTCTCGGATGAAAATAGAAATTTTTTCTAAGTAACATAGCTTCTTTTTTGCCACCAGGGATGTTATCCCAGGATAAAACTGTATCAACAGCATCATAATTTAATTTTTGAACCCGTCGAATTATCCCTGGTCGAACTTTATAATCCAAAATTTGACCATCATGACTCAATTTGATACTAAAAGACATAACCGAATTGCCATTTTTTTCTGCTTCCACTCCTAAACTAAATATTTTCTCACTCAATATAGCAGGAAACATGGGATAAACCCGCTCTGGAAAATAAACAGTCTGAACGCGACGACTTGCATCTTTAGCGAATTGATGATCTGGATGAATATAAGCCGAGGGGTCAGCAATATGAACATGCACCCAAAATCCACTAGGATCTGATCCATGAGCATCAATGCGTTCTATAGAGACACCATCATCGATTTCATGTGCTTTAACGTCATCAATAGTGAAAACCTGTGCATCACCAAAATCATGACGAATTTCTTCACAAATATCTCGTGGATAGAATTCTCTTTCTCCAAGATTCGGTAGAGATTTAATCATTAACTGTGGATCTCGCTTCACATGATTTTTTCCTTTGTTTTTATTTTTATCATAATTATATTGAAATGGTGATTGAGTACTGATCAAATTCTTAGCTAAACTCGATGAATCTTTAATTGCTTCATCTCTTGCCTTGGACATCCCATGTCCATTTAATTCCAAGGATGTTTCATATACAGATAAATTTTCCCATGGTGCCCACACGCCAATATCAATCATAAATTGAATAGCACAATCGCGGTCTAATAATCCCTCATATAATTTGAGAGGTTTCAGAATCGCAGACACAGGGGCATCAAATGATATTTGTGATATAGTTTCTCTCGAAAATATAAATGTACGAATAAATCTTATAAACAATTTGTCTATTGAAGAGAATGCGGGTAGAATTTTGGATTGTGTTATTGAAGGAACAGGCACTGAATAATTCTTTGATGCCATCCGTTTTTGCTGAATAATTGACCTTGTTTTTTCTAGGAAATCATTGAACGCCGAATCTTTTTGTCGAATTGAAGAAAGCACTGTTTCAATTGCCTGGACATCAGATTTTGGACGTAACAGAATTTTCCCAATTCTCACTGATGCGGGATCACTCATAAAATGAATTCCATCATTTAATAAAAAATTATGCGCTGCAAATAATTGTGAAGTTTGTGGCTGCTCTGTTTTGAATACAAAACGAGCAGCGTCTTCCACTGTGATTAAAGAATGTTCGGCATCATCAGGTGATGAAAAATGAGAATAAACTTTTCGAAATTCTGTATTGTTTTGTTGTATCAATGCTGTACTTGCTTGAAGAAAAGTTGAGGCAACTCTTCCATATGTTTGAGGAATATCCGAGTTTAGAGGAAGTGCTGAAGGATTGATTTTTGAATATGCATAAGTGGGAATTCGAAAAGACACATCATCTTCTCGATGAAGTAGTTCACGTCCATTGGGTAGCAAGGTGGTGTTCTTGTCAACACCATCCTCATGACCACGAAGTTTGATAAGTATACCTACAAAAACCTTTCCATGTCTTATACAAATTTTAATATTATTAAAATCATTAAAAAAAATAAATTTCATGCATATATAATTAAAGGTTACCTTCTTACTTTCTTACTTCTACAAAATCTCCAATTTGAAGTACGAGTTTAATTGCAACGGTTTCATCAAGATCCAAGGCTGTTTTGTCCAAATTTTCTGTTAAATTATCACGAACGTTTTTTGTTCCAGGTTTGCTATTTGAACGTAATTTTTTCAAATACAAATCATGCTTGGGAAGGTTGACCCAAGATGGTATTGGGTTATATGTGCTTTTCTTAGGACGAACATTAATTTGTGAAGAATCTTGCTTATCAGATTTAACTAATGAACGAGCTTGTTTTGGAGAGATAACATTAATTTGTGAAGAAACTTGCTTCTCAGATTTAACTAATGAACAAGCTTGTTTTGGAGAGATATGCGAGTCCTTTTTCTTAAGTGGAATATTATGAGTAAAACGTGAAATAAAAAAAAATCCACCAAAAGCTCGAAATCGCTCAGACGTTTTTTGTGACAACATTACGTGTTTTTTTGAGAAAAACCCCGACGGAAAAAATTTTTCTAAATTAGTACCATGTGATATTGGATTCGATCCGGATTATGTCATGTGATTTTAAAAATCATGTGAAACTCTATGATTGGTTGAACCAAATCATGTGAATTATATGCAAGAATAGAATATTAATATTTTAAGAATGGAAAATTATATTTAAATAATTATAACTAAATAAAAAGTCTTCAATTATAAGAAAATAATATTTTTATTATATTATATATAATGAATTAATATAAAAAGATTTTTAATCTTTATAATTTTTTTATATTAAATAAAAAATAATCTAAATTAATTTTTTATACTATATTAACTATTCTATTATACTTTAATTTAGTAATACAGTGGCAATCAAAAATAATGCAATACTTAAATTTTTTACTAATTATAATTAGTAAAATACATAATTTTTTTATCAGTAACTTGTTCTAATTATATATGAAATCAATTAATTTTTATTAATTAATAATTAGTAAAAATTAATTAACTTTATATGCAATTAGAACAAGTTAC